GTGTGTGTGTGTGTGTGTGTGCCTGTGTGTGTGTGTGTGTGTAGAGCTTATGCCCTCATTGTCACTTGGAAAGTTTCAGCTGATCTGATCAGACAGAAGCAGTTTCCCAAGTGACCACATGAACCAAACACTGAAATACAAGCAAGAGAGTCAGAGCTAATGAGGTCATCATGACCTGAGAGAGAGGGGGGGAGAGGGAAAAGAGACAGACAGACAGACAGAAAGAAAGACAATTAAGAAAGAGAGAAAGAAAGAAAGAGGGCTTCTGCTGCCACAAACAAGTCCAAATTGCATTTTCACTTGATTGATCAACCAAATATCCTGTTGAGTGCACCAGAGACACACACCAGAATAACAACAACCAGATGAATTACAACAACAACAAAGGGAGGTCCATGCTTTTCTAAATGAAATGCTGCATCAACTTCAACGGGCAGAATTTAAAGCATATGACTCTGCCTCCATCAAGGCTAACGCTGCCATGTTAAACGCTCAGTGTGTGGAATTTAGTGACATCTAGTGGTGAAGTTGCATGTTGTAGTGGAATACCCATCACCTCACCCTCCCCTTCCAAACATGAAAGAGAACCTGTGCTCTACCGGTTTGGACTAATGTCCATTCTAGGGTAAAGAAAACAATTCATACAACTTAGATGATTATACATTCGTAAAAACATCACTAGGATTATTTTATATTCAATTTCTGCCAATAGATCCCTTTCACCTAAATCTTACACACTGAACGTTTGAAGAATAAGGAAAAAATAATCCTGCATCCACCCATTTCTTTCTAGAGCCGTTTCAAATATTTTATGTGCTTCTTTTCACCACTTAGTAGAGCACAGACCTCTGCCGAGGCCCAACAGACCCCTTAAATTCAACCAGCCTGCACCAAATCATACACACACACACACACACACACGTCCCCATGAAACACTCTGCCCTGAAGATCTCCTGAGCTCCTGTGCATAGAGCTCAGGAGGAAATAAAGAAAGTAGTAGAAAGACAGAAAAAAGCAAGAAAAGAAGAAACGTGTATAAGTGACACTGACCGGTGTTCATCATGGCTGGCCAACGCTCTGCTGTACAACACCTCCAGTCGCTCCAGCGGCAGCCCATACGCTGCAGATGGCCGCCGGGTGTCACATGGGTGCTCCTGGCAGGAATGTCGTCGGTGCAATGGAGGCAGCAGCAGCGGGCCGGAGCAACGCCGCCGCACTGCCTGGTGGACCACGGGGAGAGATTCCCGCCGACGCTGCAGAACAAGAGAGATGGGGGAAGAACATGAGTGTCCAAAACTTTTGGTGTTTATGACACATGAGACATAAAGATATTTTATTTGTAGCCTTTAAAACTATGAGCAAGAGAATAGACACAAAAGTTTCAAATAAACAAGTGCTTTATACACTGCTTTGTTGTCTTTTTGGAGGTTGCAGATTATTTGCAGTGTTTTTTGATTGTACTGCAATCAACCTTACACAATGTTCTGTATATGAATAGTAAATCTTACAGTTTACTGTTCATCATTATAAATTTGACTTATTTGACAATTCAAGTAAATTATAACACAAATTACTCCAAGATCCATCAATAAAACATCAGAGATTAGATTTTAATGTGCAGAAATAATGAAATATCATCTAATCACTTACAATTACCACATCACTGTTGAAGCATGAAGATATTACGAATAGCTCAATGATTTATTAGTCCCGCCATAGCAAACAGAATGTAACAAAATATTTCGCAGTTGCAAATGGAGAATAGTTTGAAAATGAATCAATGCATATTAGTCCGGGGACATGTGGCATCTCCCTGATCTGCCCTGTGGGTATTGTAGGAGCAGCACAAACACTTTTCACATCTGACACTAAGTAAGTAGTTTGTTTGTCTCCTTCCCTGAGCAATAAATTAGCTTTTTTTACACGTTCTCCTTGCAAATCCATTTATTACCGACTGATGGTTTCTAATGGAGCAGCTACGAGAGACAACAGGTGGACAGACAGCAGCTCTGTGTGGTTGACAAACAGCAGTGTGTGTGTGTGTTTCTATGGTTGTGAAGACAACGTGAGAACATTTTGGCTGGTTCTCACAATATAAAAATATTTTTGAAACTCTTGCATTCATGGTCAGGGTTGGAATTTGATTTAGCTCACTGTTAGGAGTTAAGTTAAGATTAGAATAAGTTGCTAGGGAATGCACTACATCGATACACTCAGTAGAGCACAAATCTATCCTAATGCACAACAGTTCCCTTATGAAACCGCTTTTAAATTCACTAGATCTGGATTTTTATCTGAAAACATAACATCCCTGGCAGAGGTCATCAAAGTCCTCACATGTGTAAATGGTGACTGTATTTATAAAGCACCTTTATACATCAAGGGCAATTTGAGGTTCAGTTTCTTGCCCAAGGACACATCAGAATGCCAGGGATCGAACCACCGAGCTGCTAGTTAGTAGACAACCCTCTCCTGAGCCACATCCGCCTCACACTTGTGTGAGTTTGTGTGTCAACATCATATCTAAGGCGACCTCTTCCATTTTAAAAAGTGTTACAACATTGAAGCAGCCACGAGATGAAACATTTGAAATCCATGATCGTGGTGGCCCGAGGTTTCTCAGCCAGGTGACAACACCTCCGTCTCCTTGTAATTTGTGCTTCAGCAGAGTTGAAGGAGCAGCCGGACACCTCGTGCTTCACTAACAACTGATGGATATTGATCTGCACGTCCGAGAAGCTGCAACAGCAACTCTCATCTCCCCCGGTGCTGTCAGGCGCAAAAAGCAAACATGCCTTGCAGGCCTATACCGTCCCCACATCTGTTATCTCAGACAGCCTTTGTATCCACTGCTATTGAATATCGACTTTTTCTTCCTCTGGATCTAAAGATTCTGAAAGATTTGTTTTCCTTCACCTGTTGCACCTTTGGTGGTTTTCTCCCACTCAGTACAAAGGACTTTCACCCATTTATTTCATATAATATATAATTGTTAATTTGGAATAGTTGCCCAAACATAATCAGTTTGTAAAATGTTTTTTTTATTTATAGCTGAGACAAATCAAATCTATGAAACCAGCTTTGATAAAACACACAGTCATACGGGCGGACCTGCTGCTGCATGTACAGCACTCTCTGATAAAACTGCACTCTCCAAGAATTGAGTGTTCAAATCTCCCATGTATCTGGCCTCAGATCAGTAGAACAAATGGACCTTGTGTTGTGGCCAATAAATAACTGACAACATCAAGCCAGTTGGAGAAAAAGCTCAAGACTTGTTTTCAGGAACACCAGGGGCCATTTTCACAAAGATCCTGAGAACACTCTCAGAAAGCACAGAGATGAGCCTGATAATGAACTCAGGTGTGAAGTAGGACAGCTGAAGACAGAAACCTTTCCCTTAGTGAGGAGCTGCTATTGGCATGGTTTGATTGGTTGATCACAAAAGATGGAAATATCTTTAAAGGCAAAGAACGGACAGTGAAATCAATGACTCATTTTATATGGTGAAAATTGTTCATCATATACTTATTGCCTGTTCACAGTTTTATCAATTAGCTTACTTTAATTTTGGTCTTAAGTTTTATTCATCTTCATTTGATATTAACATTAATGTGAGTGTGAATGGTTGTTTGTCTGTATGTTGGCCCAGTGAAACACTGGGGACCTTTCCAGGGTGTATCCCACCTCTCGCCCAGTGTCAGCCGATCTACTCCAGCCTCCGCATACACACTGTACAGATAATGGATGAATATCAACAGAGGAAATATGGCTCCGCTTTTACCGATCTCTGTTATTACTGGTTTTGCAGTCCGTATAAGCAGCCGTGAGAGTTGGCAACTAAGTCGACCGTATAAGCATCTCAATTCCTCACAGAGCAACTCTTTGTACTGACGTTATGAGACGTTATGAATAGGACCCTTGTTTTCTGCACTTTTATCTGCTGGACTCACAAAGTGATCCATCAAACCTCATTGTGATGTGACATGTGCTGATGAGTTTATTCACAGTCACAGAGAATTCACTTCCTGTGCTGCAGCACTCAGGAAACCATTGCTCAGAGAAATCAGGTTATGCAAACCTGGTTTTACATGCAACCAGTCAGTAATCACATTTCTCCCTTCTCACCCAACTTGATTTTGGAAGCATTATTTAATTTGTGTGTGTGTGGGTGTGTGTGTGTGTGTGTGTGTGTGTGTGCGTGTGTGTGTCTGTCATAAAAGCAAACTCTGTAGTGAGATCACACTTTTTTCCTCACAACAAGAATGTGGCTGAATTTAGTTTTCAAACTTTTCAAATGTTCAGAAGTGAAAATTTAGACGTATTAGTTTCTGCTCATTATTTCAAATCAGTTAATCAGACAATCAGCTGTTCTGCCCGTCAGACTTTTTGCATGTACAAATCTGTATGATGAGTAGACATCCTGTTACAGAAGAAAAGAGCTACTGAAACCTAGAAAAACAGGTTTCTCTGAACCTCTGCCCTGATCACATGAACTGAGTTTCTATGATATTTTAAAAACAGCTTTCTAGAGAAAAATCTACTGTAACCTGGTTATCTAACTGCATTTGGTTCGACACATATCGTATACGAGGAGGCGGTAACTAAGTTATTCTTTCATACTGTGGCGGCTGTGGCTCGGTGGGTAGTGTTTGTCATCCACTAACTGCAGGGTTGGCAGTTCACACCCCTGCTCTACTTCTCCATGTGTCAGTGTCCTTGAGCAAGACACGGAACTCTTGATCATCCCCTGGTGGCTGGCTGCAGCATAGGTCATAAACCCTGCCCCCTCTACGTTAATGGATGGGACAGGGACCAAATTAAAAAGTACACGCCAATTTCAATTTCTCAGAGATGTTTTTTTTCAGTTCTAATCACGCTGATGTTAGTTCTGTGTCTGATTAACTTTTAAGCAGGGGAAACATCAGAGACAGATTGGTTGTGCGTGTGTATCGGCGAGACCTTGCTCCCACAGCGGCTATGACGGCGCAGACTCCAAATGCACAAGATGTCAGCGTTGGTATCCAGGATATTTTACATTTTAAGTAGGTTATGTACGATAAATAACCATTTATCCTGCTGACTGTGGCACAAAAAATCTTACATCCAATTTTTAATGTCATCAACACTGGATTTGTGTCAAAACTAAGCCCCCAGTAATATCACTATTTTGTTTTGTTTCTTCTGTATGTCCACTAGCTGTGGATCTGATCTGTAACCATCCCTCTGCATTTTGGAGCAAGAACGTTTCACCTATAACAGCAAAATTTGATGAACGACACATTTTCCTCCAGCCCATATAGCAGCAGAGAGGAAGCAGCTGGCTGTGAAATCACCTGGCTGGTCTCCCGCCATGCTGCACGCAGGAAGTGAGAATGAGATGGAGCCAGTGAGGCCGGCGTGTGATCAGATGGGACGGCAGATTCTCAGCAGGCCGCCGCCGCCACGTTTCTCCATTAATCAAGCAGTGCGATGTATTAATTCTTATGACTCACACTCCCCCCTGTCGTGTTTTCAAAACCTCAACTGTGTCAGGGCTCAAGTCACTGAGGTGAGGCTCATCTGAGCTCAGTTCAATACGCTGCATGTGTAAGGTCACAGTGACATCGTACAACAGAGTCATTACCCTAATATTAAACTATCCTGTAGCAGCACTTCATTTTCTGTTTGTAGAAAAATATCTTCATTCCTGTTCTATGACTGATTTATTCACTTTGATTGATTATTCTCTTTTTCTCTGAACTGCTTACTGTGGCACAGAAAGTATCAACGGCTGCTATGCTTAAAATACTTTGGACATTTTTCATTGCTGAGCAGTTGTGCATTGTCTATTTTAAATAACTGCGAGGAATTTTATATTGCAGGGAAAAAATAATGAATGAAAATTCTACCACAAACAAAGCTGTTAAAAGAAAGAGCTGCATGTTGTTATTGCAGCCAGTGCAAACTCCAAGCCTCCACCTATAGACTGTATCTACAATGTATGAGTCAGCCCATGTGAAAATACAGCAGGAAAATTCACAGCCTGTTGTTATGTTCTCGAAAAACGGGAGGAATACAAACAATTCAGGATGAAAAAGAGGAGCCATACGTGTCGAACATCATATGCAACTCATCATCTATGAAGTGTTTATTTCTAATGTATTTCCATATTTATTTGTCATCTTGAGTTTATGATTCGACGATTCATTTTCTCTCTGTCTCTTTCTAACGCTCTCTTGTGCTCATTGTTGCAAATTAGCTGATTAGTCTGTTGTGTAAATGCAGCAGTTTCCCTCTACTGCAGTCAATCAAAGCTCTTGTGTTATTATGTTATTATTGGACAGACGCTTGCAAACCGAGTCTAGAAACCTTCCACTGATCTCTATCATTGTCTGACAGATAAACACATGAATGCCTTTGTAATTCAGACATTTGTGCTCAGATAAAAAATTGATGGGTGTCAGAGGATGTTTTCACCTCCGCAGACGAGCGAGCTGATTAACATTCATGACCTGTGTGTTGTCTGTTAGCGATTGGATTAGTAGCTGAAGCCTGCCTACAGTGCTCACTGCACTTTTCTCTGACACATTCTGGTGAAAATAATAAAGTGAAAGACCAGTGAAGCTCTGAAAGTGAGAGATAATCTGACTGTGGAGGTTTCCTGCGATACGAGGATGCAGCACCTGATAATAAGTGTGTGTGTCTTTGTGTGTGGGTGTGTGTGTGTGCCAACACTAGCAGCCTAGACATATTGTCCATAGCCCAACATACATCCAAAGTGTAACACAGCAGGTATCCCACAATCCACTGGGCTCCCGTCTGCTTCACACAGCATGCACACACACATACACACACATTTGCACAGCCATCCTTATTAGGACTTTGAACTGACTCCCATTCACTGTGAACACCCTAACCGAAATCCCTAACCTTAACCAATGGATGTCTAACCTGAACCTAACTAAAAAATGAACACACACACACACACACACACACACCTCAATCATAACTAAATGCCTAACCCTTATCCTTACCCTTACCTAAACGTAATTCTAACCAAAGAGAGATAAGCTCTGGCCATAAATGATGCACTAATAGAAGAGAAAAGCTTTTCATCAGGACACGTCGATCCTTCTTGAACCCATGATTGCAATCAAAGCCGCCACTGTTTTCTTAATTGGGAAAATGAACATTAATTAATCATAACTGAGAGAGAGGAGCTGGATGAACCACTCCCCTGCGTCTGTGTGTGTGATATGTGTGAGTGTCAGCAGACAGGCTGAGGAAGCCTGTTTCTTTTTTACGCAAAGCTGTAACATTCACCTGTATGATCAGTATAATGAGTGTTTGATTAGCATCAGTCCATAAACACAACCCTATTCCAATCAGCCCTGTCATTCTGACCCCACTCTGCCTCTCTGTAGCTGCCCTGATTATCTCTGCAGATACACAGAGGCTGGGTGATTTCATGTACGCTGGATATTTTTTCAAAAGAAGCACTCAAAAAGTTAATATATGGAGCAGCCGGGGAGTGAAGCTGTGGGGGGTTGTGGCCACGCTCGTTCGCACAGCTTCAATCCGTGGTGATAAACATGAGGGCGAGAAGCAAAAAACACCAATCAGCAGTCAAGAGCAAAACAACATTCAGTCGTCTGTTGGATTTAAACAGATGTTTTATTTTCTGTTTGCTGAACTATAGGTTCTTCAAGTGTTGAATCAAAATCACTCTAGATTGCTTCACTATATACGTTTACCTTGACTGTCTGACTGTGTCCGTGTGGTGTTGGTCCTGAGCATGAGGCTTTTTCACTAAAACCAGCTGTGGCTGAAAACAAGTGAGGCACTGAGAGTGAAACAAAACAGTTAGAGGTCGAACAGCAAAGAAAATGAGCTGAAAGGTGCAGATGAGCTGCAGGCGCAGGTGATACTTGTCTGTAGAGCTGTTTTCAAATATAAAGACAGACATTTTCTGGAGTTCTATTAACATATAAAGAATGCAACAGGAGATCATCCGAGTCGAACGCGTTCACAACAACAGGAGAATCTCTGAGTGTTCAAGTGAGGACGTATAACTTCCAAAATCACCTGATGTTCTTTACAACACCACAAGCTCTGGAATCTCATTGTCTCTCCAATTTGAAATCGTCTTGGTCTTCGTCTACATGAATGGGTCCTCATCTTTTTGAGTTGTTTGCATTGTTTTAGTTTTTTCCGTCACGTGTGATAAACATCGTCCACTCGCTCGCAGTGAATTCTCCAGATATTTTCCTGGTGTATTCTCACATGGACTCATTCTCTGGAATTTGCACTAGGGGGCTGCAAAGGAAAACTGCAAAGCAAGTCCAGAGCAACTGCCTTGGACATTTGCATCCTCACAAACAGCCCCTCAAGATAAACATTTCAGGAGAGTATCTGGAGTTCATGATACAAGAACATCCATGTGCAATAAAGTCTTTAAATAGCTAGTTATTAAAGTGATGTATTAGTTATTTAGGTACAGTCTTTATCTTCCAACTACTACTAACAAAATCTAATAGTATATCAAGTATTTTATAATAATCCAAATGTAAACCAGCCTTAATATAGGAATGTTATTATCTGAGCTTGTCAGGAGCCCAGTCGGTGACTTGCCTGAGGCTGAATGTGTTTGATTCGTATTCATATCCAATAAACCTTAGGAAATGTAATTGTGTCCATGTTGCCTCATCTCACTGACAAATTTACCAAAACAGCAATGAAGCAAGCTCAGCCTTAGACGGCATTTTATAACCCATTTATCTTTTCAAGAAACTCACAACTGAAGTGACTCTGTGTGCGTGTGTCCCTTGTGTCCCTTGTGTCTTTATTCACTGGGGACAAAACCCTGAAGTAAAGATAAAACTTTTACAGCCGCAACGTKATCCAAGTTCAAAACCCAGTCATCATCTGACGCACAGCGGCAGAATCACACAGAGGATCTTACTGCCAACTTATCACCTAAGTAAACTACAGACTTGATAAGGCAGGTAGAAGGTGTGTGTGTGTGTGTGTGTGTGTGTGTGTGTGTGTGTGTGTGTGTGTGTGTGTGTGTGTGTTAGAGTAGAAGCCATGTATCTTATTTACCTCAAGCCAAGACATTGATGTTGGTTTGTTGTTGCGCCAACTGAAACAAAGATGAAGTGACAAAATGAGATGGCTTTAAAATGACATTAATCACTAAATAAATCAAAAAATAACAAAAAAATACAATCATCCCCCTTTACAAACCTACAGGGGTTAAACACACGTGAAGACATTAGGCCCGATGATCACATTCTTTGAGTCAGTTAATCGAGACATAAATTTATACATGAAAATTCCTCAGAAATATGGGGAAATATCCACAAACATATCACCTGAAGCTTTGTCATAAGTGTGCTGCTGAGTAAAAAGTCTATTTTAACATCATCTTTATACACATGTAAAAAATGTGTGTCCCAACAGTGTAACTCATGCATTTACAGAACTGACACTGCACATCGTCATCATCACATAAAATATAATTAAAACAACAATCGTGTTTAGCGAAGTTAGAGTAAATTCAATGTCATAGAGCAGCACACCCGAAGTTGGACAGACAACTAAAGATGGAGAGAAACATTCAGAGAATGAATCATCCACCACTGCCATTCAAAACCAAATTTCCTGCTCGAACCAGAATCACTTCTTTCAATTTACTTTGACGAACTGAGGGTTTGAACTCGTGCATCACATTAAATATGACCAAAAATACATAATAAGCAGAATGTTCGAATATTCATCGCAAAAACGCATAAAGAAGAAAAAATGAAGTGTAAAAGGTCGATAAAAACGTTTGAAAAAATAATGACTAGGACTCATCTATGAAGTGTTCCCATGACTCATCAACAGCACCAGGCACTGCCATGTGCTGAGGGATGGTGGATGAATGTGCCAGAGGCATCAAAAAGACTCAACAAGCCTTTTCTCTCCAGGACATGATGAAACACTTTTATTACTTTTGTTGAACAGATTTGCTTCATTTTCACGTCACGCACACAGAGAGCTCAGCTAACACAGGCTCACGATGCAGCGGGGAAACAAAAAATAAAGTGTATTGTAAGTGTGTAAAATGATTATGGGTTTTTTCTTTTTCTTTATCACTTGTTTGTATAATTTCTAATTTGTTTTTATTTACATGTTCGGAATAAATAAAACTGAATGAATGAAAAAGAGGGACTTTTATAGAACTGTTAACCTGAGAGACGTCCAAAGTGATCAAAGTGAGGCTGTAGCTACAATGAAGCACACTGATGTCGTCTGTGTTGTTTCTCAAAATGTTGGGCGGAGTTCAATATATACACATTTTTAACAATTTTGGGCAATTTCTTTTAACATTATCACAAAGCAGTCTAATCCAACAGCCCAATTTAATGTAAGCAATAAAGTGTCTTCGGTTTAAACTCTATAACTCTTTAAACTCGCTGATTCCATTGGAGCTCATTATGGAAATTAGTGTCACTGAATTAAAATGCATTCTAAAATTTTGCCCCAACAGGAAACCAATGAGTAACTGTAGATGTTTTCATGTTTTTCAGTTTATGACATGAAGAGTGAAAATGAATAGTGAAAATCTGGATCACCGTTATTATGTCTGATAACATTTATCACTGCTGCTGTTGATGATTTCCACGTAGTAGGACTCATAAATAACTGGTGAAAATGGATCATGTTTTCCTACTACAGGGATTGACTTCTACAGTTCGACCGTCACTGCTGATATTAGGGAGGAAAAGATTTGTGGTTCCAAAATATCTGTAAATATATTGTTTAAAATTGTAATGCTTCCTAAGAAGCTGTTATCAAACTCATATGATAAAGAAATGTATAATTGAGGATTCATATTTTCAACCATAAACGTTTTAAAAAAAACTATAAAGAAAAAGAAAACACAAATATATAGAACTTGAATTGAGAAAATAGTAAAGTTTGTGCTGTAAAATTAAAGTTTTCATATTGACAAATAACATTACCATTGTTCTTTGCATGTTCTGCAGTCCTGTAAATCATACATGCTGCTCCTCACTCTCCTGCTGCTCCTGTAACTAACATGTACGTCTCCATGGAGGAGCAGCCTGTGCTCACTGAACCGACTGTAAACAGAATCTGCTGCTCACATGAGGGAGGCAGATCCTGCACGGCTCATCTGAGGTTCCTCATGTGTGACAGTATAGAGGATAACATGACACAGTCAGTGTCAGAGGGATGGGGTGTTAACACTGTTTTATAAAAGGAAAGTACACACAATACACACTACTCTATAAATCTAAACAGGAAACTCTCATCAACAACAGTGTAGTGTTCGCTCCAATGAGAGTGTCCAGTGACAGTCGCTTGAAAAGATCCATAGTTTGATATTTGTTTAAGAGCACACACTTTGCTTCAGGGCTTCACAGGCCGAAGAAATGATGTGTTCATTTTCTGTCTGCTGGTTAGAACAATACCTCAGATTCTTGTTCACAGAACTCAATGAAGTATTGTGGACATTCGGACCACAGCTGAAAGAACACAGAAGCAAAGGAGCAGAATCCAGGTATTCTTCAAATATTTCTACAGAATACCATATTTTCTATTTTTTCCTTTGAGGAACTGCAGTTAAATGAAAACAACTGGTTTTATCACATGAAAATATTGTGGCTCACTTCCATTCAGCTGCTTTCAGCTTTTTGAGTGTGGTATTGTTGATGTTGATCTTATAGGACATTGTAAATGTGAAGTTAAACCAGTGCTTCTCCTGAAATCGATAAGAGTTGTGGGTCCCTTCTGGAAGTATCTGTTGGTTCTGGAAAAGCTTTTCTGTTCTCTCATTGCAGAAAAAGTGTATTCAACATTATCCCCCAGAAGTTCGAGCACATTATAGCTTCAGCAATGTTTAGTTTAAAGAGGGATTTGAATGTCATTTGGTTTTACCTGAGGATGTTGTGATAACTAAGAAAAAAACCTATTGTTTTATGTTATCAACGCAAGTGAACAACCCACTGTGCCATATTGCTGAATTCATCCAAAATTGAATCAGTTTTCTCAAAATCGTAATCTTTAGTGTCCACCCGTGAAATAATGTCAGTCTCTGTGATAGGATAGTTGACTTGAGGAGAGGCAGTCAGCTTCTTTCCCCTGAACGTAACTCCTAAAGGTGAGTTTCATGCAGAAGTTAAAATGCTCAAACTCTGAGTCATGTAACATTGTGAGAGAAATAGAAAATTTGACTTTTACATCCAGACCCACTCATAAAAACCTCCTCCTACTTAAGGCAAAATGTCTGCTGTGTCAGAGGCCCATTGCTGACACATCAAAGTTAGAGGATTGTGCAGCCTCGGCAGAAGAATAACTCTACAAAGTATGAATCCTTCATTAATGCTCCCTGTATTCTTTACGTCTTTAGCCTCAAAGAAAAGAAGTTAGTCTTTCAGGTTTTTCATTGTGTCTGGAAACTTTCAGCCTCTGCTTCACTACAGGCTGCCAGATTCTTGATTTTTGATCCCAGCTCTTCCAGGCTTGAAATATGCTTTTTGACAGTGTCAGTGCAGCAACGATAGTTCTGGATTTGGGTCAATTTCTTTTTAAGGCAACCCATCACTTCTCACACTAATGACAGCCTGTGTTTTGTCTCTGTCGTGAGCTGACATTTAGGATGTTACTGTGGAGTTTCTCGTGCTCAACCAAAGGAACAAATCTTTCTGGCTAAAGATTTATGATAGAAGACATTCAGAAGAGTATTCATGCCGGGCATTAAAGAGACGATGAAGTTTTTTTTTTTCCTTTTGCATTTCGATAATGTTTTGAACATTTTAATTTAATTTCAATTGTTGAGAATCAAATCAACTTCTTCATTTGTTTATGTCTGGCCCTGACATTTGGCCTTATCTAATGTAATTAATTTCTTTCTCTTCAGTTGCACCAGGACACGCCTAAATGAAATGACGCAATTGTCACAGTTAGTAGTTAAATATTGGCTTTTTTTGCTAAGACAATAATTAGTCTGTTGTGTGGATGATCATTCAGAGGCCTAATTATCCAGCTAATGATAATCAGTGCTTCACTAAAGGCAGGCAATCAGGTTAGGAAGGTCGACCACTTAACCTTTCATAACATACAAACAGAGAGATTTTTAAAATGATAATGCGCCTAAATTTACACTTTCCAAAGCACTGATCGGCACCGTGTTATATTTCATGGTGCAGCCCCCTCATGCTGTGTAAGTGTGTGCAGCTGAACCCTCCTCTCCACCCTGGCACCCAAGCGTCTGTAATGATTAACTATCTCAGCAGTGGTGTTCTTGTCTTAAACTCAACAATCAGCCATCATAAAGTGAACACCCAAGGCATCTTGTGATGTTTGTGGTGACGCACAGCAGAAAGAAGATAGGCTTGTTAAAAACCAAGCTGATAAGGCCACACACACACACACACACACACACACACACACGTTCCACTATCATGGGGGACATTCACTGCTCTGACATACCCCATGTAACCTTACACTCCCCTAACCAGACTTCAGTGCTGAGAATGGTCTTGCAGCTATTGTTATCATTCTGATAAACAGTCTGGCTTGTTTAACCAATCACAATTGTCTGTGGTGATGCAAAACCGAGGGCCACACAACGGTGTCGCCTGTGAAATAACATCAGAACTTGTTTTGGTGGAACCGTTGCACAGGGGGAGGTGAGCACTGCCATTCAAATAACTAATTCCACTCGAAGAAAATATCAAAGTTATTTCTTGGTCCATATCTCTGTCAAAACATTACTCAGCAGGTAGGTGGCAGCTCATTGTTGTTTCCTATAATAAAGGGGATTTTGAAAAGTGGAGGGGAATGAGAATGCCAACAACAACATGTGCCCAAAGGCAGACACCCACAGTCTCGGTGCAACCCAAACATGTGATTTCACATCATCTCATTTATGCTCCTCTAATTTCAGGGCTACCTCAACTCTTTTATGCTTGACTTGAATTCTAATCTAATTCTTTATTTTCCTGCTGTGTTGCACATATGAGTTACAGCACACCACAGATAGATGACTAAATATCTGTGTTTTGCATCTTTATTATACAGGAAGCAGATTAGTTGTTAGTTTTCAGATCACACTAGTGTGACACACATTAGTGTTACTCATTGAGAAGTCAGACTCAGGCAAACAGAGGATGGTGTGCCTTGCTCAAGTCACTGAGGGTGTGACAGTGACTCTTATATGGGATACTGCACTCACATGTACGAGTATACTCACTAGCCAAGTGTGTAAACTCTGACAAGGTAGTACTTTCCCAAATCAAACATATAAACAGTCTGTATTTAACACTTTTCTCATTTTATACCACTCACAGCTTTTTAAAGTACAGTTTGAATGTGCCGCTCACACATTCATACAGAGCATCTACTTGCAGCACTTTCTCTATCACACGTCACATCATGGAATTTGGGGATCCAGTGTCTTGCCCGAGGACACTTCGGCACACTTGATGGAAGAGATGAGCCGCTCTACATCCTGAGCCCCGAGCCGCCCTACAAGACAGTGTTTGTCGCCTGCCACAGAATCTGCAGGCTGCATTGTTCACTTCATCTAAAAATTAATGTTTTTATTTTCTCATGTGTGTCCAGTATTGTGTGGTCCATCCCCACGAACACGTAAATGATACAGACAACATGTCCTCCTTCACCAAAGGCCATTTTCCCACATTTGAAAAGAAGTTGGTGGTTAGGGTTTGATACGTAGCCAAGGTGGCGACAGCTAAGAGTAAGAGGTGACTGTTTTAAATTGAAAATGCAGGTAAGTGTGAGGAAGGAGGTACGGGCATTAAGACACAGCAATAGTCCAAATTTATCTAGATCTAGATGTAGCTTTGGTTCTACTCTCATTCTGTTTTCTGTTTTATTTTGCTCTCTGCTGTCGTCTTTTTTCTTTAAATGCATCACTACAGATTCATCTCTGTCTGTACTTCCTTCTCTTTTTGAGTCTCAAACCTGTAACTCTGCATTTTTAAAGTCAAAATCTCAAACTTCCAGTCCGTCCTGTTGTTTCCTAATCGCATACAAGCTCTCACAACACATAGGCACCCAAACACATGCATTCCAAACTTTTTTAAATGCAAAGGCCATAATGAATTCAATTATTTATGTTGAGTGGACATTTTATTTCTGTCTTTCTATCTTTTCAAAAACATCCTCCTCTTCTCACCAGTGATTTCTGAGGAAATGTTGACAAGACAAATGCTATTTTTCTGTCTGTCATTCAGACAGACAAAGGCAGATTTAGCCATTGGCTCAGCAAATGTTTGCAGATCAAACAGCCCGAGATGTTGATGGATAAGAAACCAGAGTAGGTTGCTGCGGACCTCAGAGCTGCAGCAGGATGCTATCTTATGTACACACACAGGAGAAGCCATGCCTGTTTTCTTTTTTGTTTCTTGTCAAACTTATGTCACAGGAGGATTCCAAAAGATCCCAAGAGGGAGAAATTTGTCTGACAGAACTGGTTTGACCCTGAGGTGACTTCTAGGAGCTCTGTGCAAACTGATATATTTTTGAGGTATTAAAATATGTTAACTTTTTTTAAAAACTTATTTTAAATCATTGAATTGTATTTTCTGTCAGTGTATCACATTGTAAAAGTTTTTCTGAAAAGTGCTATATAAATAAAGAAAATATTATATATACTGTATGTGAGAAGGAAAGCACAACTGGTACCGAGCTCTGAGTCACTCTTACATACATCTCACTGGAGAAACTTTCCCACTGACGGGATGGTTATGGGCTGGTCTGACGAAAATGACACAACCCAAGCAAAAGAGAAGATGAGAGATTGAATGAAATTAAGTTTTAGCTCATGTTTTTTCCTCTTTAAAAAACGTAACAACAGAGCAGAATGAAACGGATGCGTCAGACTGTGGAGAGACTCGTCTCTGAGCAGCTGTGTGGGGGTTATAGGGACTGAGCGAAGGAAGCAGATATGGAGGAAGGAAGGAGATAAAGACGGGCCAGGACGAGGGAATACATAAATATTTTGGGGAAATACATTCCACACTGGTTTCCTTATGAAGCTGAATTATTCTCTGCAACAGACAGGACACTGCTGCTTATATTACAATAAATATTATAGAATGCAACCACGATTGGAAAATATAGGCTCGGCACTGATCTTATCATAAACTCTATAGAGGATTATACAAATATTACAGGAGGACAAGTCTCTGTGGGAGTATTACAATGATATGTAAATACTAGAAAGAACATCCATTGAGATGATCTTGTTTTTACAGGCAGGCTGTGGGAACATTAAAGAAAAACATACTTACACCAGCACGGACACACTTAAATTCAGTTTGTGCTCAATAGTTATGGGTGAGATGCATGTATTAAGATTTTATCAGGAATGTTATCACAGATTAGTCATGTGCAAAATCAGTACAAAACTCCCATAGAGAAATCTGTCTTTTTTTCATTTCTTTACTTTCAGCCTCTCAACTTTCAGACTCACGTCTCAGAGGGAAACGTGCACTTATTAGAAAAGAGAAACTTGTGTTAGTACACGTTCATGTCTCACTCACCTCAGTGACCGGTGGTGTGGTCTGCAGGTTTAATGTTTTCCTCTGAGGGGGTGAAACTGTGAGCGGCCTGCACTGCTGCTGCTGCTGCTGCTGCTGCACCTGTCGATCTGCTCCATGTTTTACTGCTGCAACTTTTCTCTCAGTTTGTGAGTTCAAACTCTGCAGCGGCGCGGCGACGTGCCCCTGCGTCACCGTGACGTCGAGCGCCGCGTCACGTGACGGGAAGTGTTGGTGTCAGTAGTGTTGCAACAGAGAACACGAGGTTTTGCTGAAACAGCTGTTTTGGGTTTTTTTATTTTTTTTTTATTCCCTCACTGCCAGAAAATGACGTGACTCCTCAGACTGCTGATGTGTTATTCAGGTTATACAGATAAATGGAAACGAATCATACTCACACCTGTTTTTTTACTTAGGTGTTTTTCACCATTACTCATTCGTCTCGTCCTCCATTTACACACTCAGTGATTTACAGGTTCAGTGTGTAAGAGTCAGGTGAAATGGATCTATTGGCAGAATTGAATATGAAATAATCCTAGTGATGTTTTCACTCGTGTGTTTCATGTAAATTGTATCAGTTGTTTTCTTCACCCTAGAATGGTCCTTTAAATACTTTATATCTACATCAGTCCTCTTTACGGAGGCCGCCATGTTTTTTTACAGTAGCCCAGACTGGACAAACTAAACCTTTTGACTTTTTATGACAACTGAAGAGGGTGAGGTGAGGGGTGTTGAGCTGCAACATGCAATTCACCACTAGATGTCACTACATTCCACACACTGAACTTTAATTATAAATGTGAATATAGTTCCTGCCCCTCAGTGTTCGGACTGTTCCTAAAGGTGGAGAACATCACAGCTGGCTGCAGTATAGGTCATAAACCTTGTTTCCTCCATGTTAGTAGATGGGACATGGACCATGTTAAAATCAAATACATTTTTCTCAAAGAAGTTTTCTGTTAGTTTTTGAGTCTTTATCGCACTTACATGTGTTACGTTTGGTTTTTATTAGGCTAGTTATTTGATTCTAAAAACGTGATGAAATGTCATGATTGATACGCTAGTGGTCGAGCATTTATCGTTCATCAACGGGACCTTGTTACCGTTACTGTGTAAGATGGCGGTGTTTGTATTCGGGATACTTTGGCTTCATTACAGGATTGTAGGAGGAGGTGGAGACATATCATCCATCTTTATATACAGTCTATGGACTGAACAGTAACATTTGTTTTTATTCTCCAGACTCATTCAAGTTGAAATACATTATTGGATACTACATTAAAGTGCCAAGTGAGAAATGTGCTGTTTCTCTTAATTAATGAGATAGCTCAAAATCTTGGTCCATGTGAACAATCCCAAAGTCCTGAGGTGTCGATGTAAAGCCAACAAATTAATAACAATGCATTTATATTACTTAAAGACACAAGCATCTGATATCATGCTTTAAACAGGTATTGCCCAAACTGCAATAGTTAAGATGCAATAACACACTCAGCTACTAAAGGTTTATTTGGGAAACTGATGCATCATTTCAAGTTTATGCACGTAAGAGCTCACACATGACTCAGAGGGGAATGTGAGTTGTTATTTGTTTTCAGGTGGAGTTGTCTTTAGCGTAAGGAGTGAAGAGGTGATCATACAAGTGAAGAAGTTAAGGAGTAAATATTGAGTAACATTTGTTAGTACAATATTTCTTTGTTAACTTTCTAATCGACAGTTTACAGAATAGTAAAACAAAGTAAAGCATAAACATCATCAGCTGGTGTCAGTATTCACGTGATGTGAGAAAATAAACTATTTGTTTTTCATCTTCACATCATTAATGATTGTATTTCTTATTGCATGTGAAGGCAACACACACACACACACACACACACACACACACAC